GAGGCCAGAGACACCATGAGAGACACGGCCCAGCCTGCACCCTGTCCACTGCTGCCCCGAGCTCAGGGTCACCATTCTTGCAGGGAGCCCAGGGGTGGGCCACTTCTGTAAGCCATGTAAGGCCCAGGGCTTAGTCCCCAGACACGCACTGGTATGTGCACACACACACCACCACTGCTAAGTGGTGAAGTGGCGCACACCTGTGATTCCAGCCCTGTGGAGGCTGAGGCAGGAGGGTGGCCTCCAGTTCCAGGCCAGCCTGGGATGCCATCAGAAGAGTTCAAGGCCTGCCTGAACTATATACTGAGACACCTTTTTTAAAAATGCAAATTTTCACTTGTACATACAAAATAGATATTTAATCTAATTTTTTTCATAGCCTTTCAGAGTTTTAACTAAAAAATACAAAGCCAGGTTAGTGGTGGCATATGCCTGCTATCCCAGAACTTGGGAGGCTAACGTAGGAGGATCGCCATGCATTCGAGGCCAACCTGGGCTACAGGTGAGTTCGCAGCCACCCTGAACTACATAGCAAACACCTGTCTCGAAAATGAAATGAGCCAGCCAGATAGCTCAGTGGATTAAGCACCTGCTTAGGCAAGTGCAGGTTAGATCCCTGCACCACATGCTGCGCTGGGTGCATCCCTGGAGCACTGAGCTGGCCATGGGGGCCGTGCGTGGTGGCACTCACCTGTAATCCCAGCACTGGGGAGGCTGGAAACAGGAGGACCACTGTGTGTCCAAGCTGGCTAGTGAGACCTGTATGAAATACATTTAAAAAAAAAAAAAAAAAAAAAAAAAGCGGAGTTAGTGTGGAGTATGGAGGAGCCCTTCAGTGTGTTCCCAGCCGTGTCCCCATGTTCTCTGGGTCATGATCACCGCATTTTATCACCATCATCTTACGAAAGCCTTCTAACTTCCCCCTGGGCTTTTCCTCGGTCCTCCTCTGTCCCTTGGCACTGCCCTCTGCTCCTCAGGATGTGTTGTGAATGAATAAACACAGTTGCTAAAAATCACAGGTAAACAGCTCGAGCTGAGGCGGGGGTTGGTCTCCCTGAGCTTTGGAGAGCTGGCCCCTGCAGGCCTTTTCCTAATGTTGCAAACGGGCATGAACATACACTGCGAAGCTTTGGATGAAGCCTTGGTGAAGTCCTTGCGATTTCATGTTATATTATTTTATTTTTCATTTATCTTTTTTATGTTTTTTGCTTTCCCTGAGGCCAAGCTGACCTGGAACTAGGGAGCCTCCGGAGAGCTGGGGCGGCATGTGTGTGCCACTGTGCCGTACCAAACATAGACATATTAAGTCCTTTGAGTTTGTCTATGGGTCAGACTGCAACAAGGACCTCCACGATTTGGAGGTGAATTAGCACACACTATGTCCGCATGAGCAGGAGTCTCCTTGTCCCGTCCAGTCCCCGGGACCCAGGCGCTGTGGTGGCCGTGGTCCCCCTCGGCACCCTGTGTACAGCCCGTGCCTGGCGTGCATCCAGCCTACTTCCTCTACAGAGCTCTCCCGCCTGCAGGGCAGAGCCCCGGTGTGGGCAGGGCAGCCTTCGTCCTCCGCCGCTGCTGTTGTGCCCACACCGGGGCTCTGATGCCGTGAAGCAGGATAAGCCTGGCACAGCAAGAGTTGAGGAATTGAGGACTCGAGAAGAGAAGATGGGAGGGCAGGAGGGAGCCTGCAGAAGGACAGCGAGGGGTCAGGAGGGGAAGAAATGACCCAGGTGTGTCGGGCGGCGTGGTGTTCAGCCATGTCGCCCTGCTCTCAGGAGGCTGAGGCAGGAGGACTGCATGCTGCCCCTAAATCAGGACCAACCTGGACAGCACAGCAAGACCCTCTCTCAGCAAAATGTAACAAAACCCAAGTCGAGGTGCAGCTACAAACAGGTGGACATACGAAAACAAAGCCACTTTATTTTTGCGTCACCAGAGGGGAAGCTGTTAGGTGCAGAAACGTCCTGTTGGCCATTTCCCGACCTCCCACCACGAGCATGCACACGGCTGAGCCGTGTTTATTTCCTGGGCAGTGGGTGAAGGAACACAGGCTGGGTGTTTCCTGTCACTGCAGGGCGGTGACTCACAGGGAACCAGGGTGGCCCAAGTGGCTGCAGTCAGACTTCAGGGCTGCAGGAGCCTCAGTAGGCTTGCCCTGGCAGCCTTGGTCCCCAAGCCTTGAGTGCTGTGGCAGCCACGTTGAAGCCAGGTCACCCTCGGCAGAAGCTGCCTCTGTCTGCTGCCCTGAACCCTCCAGAAGGAGAGGAGACTGTAGCTCTCAGGAAGAGTCCTTGGGGGTCGCAGCCCAGAAGGCCAAGGTAGAAGGTGTCCTCCATCTTATGACACCACCAAGGCCCTGGGCCACCTGCAAAGGTTCTTGTCCTCTGAGGCATCTTTCTCACTGTGACCATGGGCTTTTAGGACTGGTTACTTGATATGTAATAAATGTAAGTTCAAAACACTGGCTCGGGAGGCTGAGGCAGGAGAATCCTTGCACCTGCCTTACACAGTGAGTCCAAGTCCAGAGAAAATCTTTATATCCAAAAAAGATCAGTACAACTGGCTCTGGTGTCCCGCAGCTGTAATCCCAGCACGTGGGAGGCTGAGGCAAGAGGACTGCTGCTGCACGTCCAAGGCCCGCCTGGGCTCCGTAGTGAGGTCATGGCCAGCCAAAACTAACTCGTGAAACTCTGTCTAAACGGAATCCATGCGCACTTCATGATTCAATAGACAAAGCTTAGCCTGCTGGCGTTTTTATCTCTATGTAAGAACAAGGAAGGCCAAGCAGAGTGGTGATGCTTATAATCCCAGTCCTTGGGAGGCTGAGGCAGGAGGGTGACAAGTTCAATGACAGCAGGACAACTTAGCAAGACATTGTCTCAAAATAAAAGGGGTGAGAGTGTGGCTCAGTGGTAGGGTGTGCTGGGGCTCAGCCACCTGAATTGTTACCATTGCGGCTTCCCAGGCAGCGCAGAGAACTGAAGAGCAGCAGGTCGTGGAGTGAGATTACGGCCGTGGAGGCCCAGCTCCGCAGGTGCAGGCAGGCACTACAGTCTCCAGGCGTCCCGGGCGTAAACGTGATAAAATACAGCACTTATCTGTGGGGAGAAACTGGTCAGACAGCACCGCCCACATACTGGCCTAGTGGCCTTCCAAGACCGTGGGCGGCATGATTTCTCCTCCTCCTCCTCCTCTTCCTGCTCCTCCT